TTATCATTAATTTTTTATAGAAGAAATTGATAAAATAATTGTAGCTACGATTATTGAATTACTTTTTTTACACGAACAATCTACATGAGAAAGTCCAAAAATTAAATGGTTTAAATTATCAAAATAGAACTCATGAAAGACCTACAAGACCTACAACACTTGACTCCAACCAGAGAGATCTTCTTTTTCTTCTTTTTTTTAATATTTGTGTGCCATAATTAAATGTTATTCATAAAATGAGTAGTTAACATTGTACGATTCCCCATCTAAAACTATATACAACTATTTAATCAATATTTTTAGATCAGATTTAATTTGCAAAATGGATTAAGCAGGATAAGATGTCGTAGGATAATTTTATTACAAGAAAAGTATTTGAGTCATATTTTAACAAATTTCTTATTACACAACCCTTTCCTCGTCCGCGAATCAAAACATGACTTTCGGTATTCATTATCAAAGCTTAAGAATTAAACATGAAATTATTTGATTTTCGGATCCCTTATCCTGGCATTTAAACAGTTAGATGCAGTCAACTCACGCATTGACCAAACATTAATTATTGAAAATTATATTTTTAAAATTAAGTAATGTTAAAGATGACTTATCCTTTAATTAATAAGTATCAAAAAAAATTTCCAGAAAATTACAATTCTGGTAATTTCATAAAATAATTATAGATTCATACAAAAATTAAAAATTTGAATATTAATATTTATAAAATTTAACACTAATCACAATTGAAAAAAAGTGTACATTGTTATTTGAAAATGAAAAATGAGTGAGAGCACTAATTAGTGCTATCACTAATGATGTGGCAGTAGGCCCCACAATGAATGATTTGATGTTTTGGCCTTGGTGTTGTATTTTATTTTTTTTTATTGAGTGCCATGTCATTAGTGATCTTTTTAGAGCTCCAAAATTAATAGTCTCTATCATTATTGTTTAAAAATCTCACCGTCACAGCAAGTGAAAAAATATGCATAAATATTAGGTAAGAATAGTTCTTTTTTTCCCATCTCTTTAAGCCCCATCTTTGTCTACTTTTAAATAGGAGCAATAACAATCTTTGTCTACTTTTAAATAGGAACAACAATAATCTCATCTATAACACCCTCCACTAGTGTGGTGTTCATATCTGTCTTACTTTTTAAGGAAAATATCATTAAAGTAGAAACTAAGAAAAATATTTTTAAATTAATAAAAAAAAAACTTTACAACATTAAAAAATAAATATATAAAATTTTCTGTGAAAGTGATAATATTTTTTAAAACAGAAATCTTTAGTGTCACGAATTGAGGTGGTACCTCAAATGGCTCGAATTTGTATTTACTGATCAACCACCTGAACGATCGGGTGAACCACTTGTCTATCGCGGTTGTCACATTATCAACCGCAGCTGTCAGCCTTTTCGACAGACGATTAGACGGATGACCGGATGAACAACCAGCATGATAAAATTCGAGTCAAGCTCAAATTCGAGCTACACAACATTGCTCTTTTTAAAATTACCACTGAAATATTATTTCCCCTCCTTTTTAGCTCCTCCCTTTGGGTTATCTCCTTTGGAGCATAAGAAGATTACGAACACATCAAAATTTGGATGGCTATGCAAATTTATTAGTTGAATTAACAATCACCAAGCCACCACCACCTAAATCACTTCTGCAACTAATATCCCAGATTGGAAATCGACAGAGAAGCCTTATGATTTGTTTGGTTGGAGAATTTGAGGAAAGATTTGGAAAGAGAAAAGGTGTGTGAAATTATATGAAATATAAACATGTTTTATTCAAATTTCACCTACCTTTTTCATTTCACTTTCCAAATTCCTTCCCAAATCCCCTAACCAAACACAGTATTAGTGAACATCATCATGAGAAGAAACGTAGGCTAGAATAGGCGGTTAAAAAAAAATGCAATAAAAATAATGTGTCCATAGCCAAACTCTTTTCTTAAAAAGGTCTGTATTAATTTCAAATCTTAATACAACTATTACACATCTCAAAATATTTTTATAAATTTTACATTTTTTTTTTTCACACATTTTACACATGCAAAATTTATGATTCATACTAACGAGTGTCCTAAAATTTACTGGAGCCATGCTCCACTTGAATAAGTAACTGATATTTTTTATATCATCTCTTAAGATACTAACATAAAAATGTTGAATTATCTAAATCAATAACCAAAAATTTGTCGAGCACGGAATAATAATATCTTGTTTAGATGACCAAACGAGTTGGGGCACACTCGAAACAAACATGGCCATTTTGGGACTCATTCATTTGGTCGGCCAACAGGTCAGTTGGGAGATTGGTCAGATACATTAAGGGCTCCACAACCATGTGTAAATCTTAAATGAACTTAACCCAACATGACATAGTTTGGCAAGTAAATTAAAAATAATAACAATTTTAACAACTCCAAGTATGCCGACCCTATAGCTTTACTCTCTCACCTCCATGGCACAGAGCCATCCACTGCCACCGCCAACGGCCCACAGCCGCCTTCCCCCTCATCACCTCATCCTCCTGTCATCCGTTGGTGGTTCAGAGGCCTGATGCTCCATTGTAAGCAAAAATCCATAATCAACCCTTGACACCTAAGTTTTCATTTTTTGAAACTTCATAACATAAAAACTTCCTAGGTGGTCAACAAGTGACGTGACGTGTGATGGTAGCAGTATGTATAGTGGTCGTCCATAAGTGCTGTGTGACAATGGCTATGCGCCTAATGGTGATGTGGACAGAACAAAGGGTGACTCCCCTTGCAGCATTATTTTCCCCTTAGACTAATGCTGTGTTTGATTGGGGGATTTGGAGAGGGATTTGGAAAGGGAAATGGAAAAGGTAGGTGAAATGTGAATAAATCATGCCTATATTTCACATAGTTTCACACACCTTTTCCATTTTCCTTTCCAAATCCCTCCTCAAATCCCTCAACCAAACACACCATAAGGGTATCCCAATTGAAGAGATGGGTGGATTAGGTGCTAAGCACCGGCACTGGAAAAAGATATGTTCCTAATGATAGTGAAGCTCCCCCTAATGATGGCCACTGCTAATGTGCGTGGATGATGCCAATGCCGGTGATTGTACAGTTTAATTGCTAGTCATGCGGTAGAATTAAGGTTCTGAAAAGCGATTGCGGTCATCGGAACGGTGACGGTGACGCAATTGCGGTTGCGGAATGTAAAGGCCGCAGTGTAACGATTGCGATAGCCGGAACCGTAAATTTTTTTATTGTTCGCACAATTTGAAAAAAACTTACCGATACGCATATTTTTTTTCCATGATCATATTTATTAGGTTAAAAATAAATACTGATCAATTTTTGTCAATTTTTAAGTATGATCCAATATATTTTATATTTTTAAATCACTATAAACTGAGTTTTTTACATTTTATTTTAATAATTAATAACTTTATATTATACAAAAAATCAATCACTAACTATTATATATAAGATAAACAATGACAAAAGTAAGAATAAATAAAAGCCTAAATATATATATATATATATATATATATACATATTTTAACCAAGCCAAATAGATAATGACCACACTTATTATTATTATTATTTTCAAACAATATATAAAAACATACACACAAATAAAATGGCTGAGTAATAGCAGCTGAATAGAACAGCATAGGTCTTACAACTTCAATAAATCAATAACATGTTCTTCATCTTCCCTCTTCTCTCTCTTACTCCTCCATTTTCTCTCTTTATCTTCCCTCTTCTCTCTATCCCTCTTCCCCCATTTTCAGCTTTTTTTTGTATGTTTTTTCGAAAGAAATAGTTTGGAACCGTTACGTAACGATGCATAACAGGCCGTTACGACTGTTACAGCACCGTTACAACCGCTCCAGCAGCCGCTACGGCCGACACACCTGTGAATCTCAATCACACTGCAAATGCGGCCGTAACGAGTGGCGGTAACTGCCAAAACCGTTACTTAACGGCGTTACGTAACGGTTGCGGCCGCTTTTTAAAACCTTGGTCTCAAGACTTAAACCCATAATCTTAAAGTTATTAGGCAAAGCCTTACCCATTAAACCAATGGTCACCCCTTGCTCTTGGAAACTTCTATGGAACTAAAAATGGTTAGTGATGCCATTGTCGGGGATTTAATGCCCTCCCTGGGGAACTGTTGTAGAATTAAAAATGTGACTGGATTTCTGAGTTATCCTCAAATGTTTAAACATGTTCCATACTCATCAATCATACCTTAGAGATTCCTTGAAGGTGGATAATAACCTAGTACTGTAGTTTGATTCATAGAAGCCAGAGGTTGAGCTTTGTAAATATATCTGACCTGGAAGAAGGATCAGTTCTGAACCAGTTAAAACTTTTCTGTTCCCAAGATTTTCAATGGTTACATATTTTCTCTCTTTATCTTCCCTCTTCTCTCTATCCCTCTTCCCCCATTTTCAGCTTTTTTTTGTGTGTTTTTTCGAAAGAAACAGTTTGGAACCGTTACGTAACGGTGCATAACAGACCGTTACGACTGTTACGGCACCGTTACAACCGCTCCAGCAGCCGCTACGGCCGACACACCTATAAATCTCAATCACACTGCAAATGTGGCCGTAACGGGTGGCGGTAACTGTCAAAACCGTAACTTAACGGCGTTACGTAACAATTGCGGCCGCTTTTTAAAACCTTTGATAGAATGGCCCTGTTTAGTAGGGCTTGTTTAGTAGAGCTTATTTCTAGCTTATTTCAGCTTTTAGCTTAATTTAAGCTATTTTGATGTGTTTGATTCAGCTTAACAATACAGCTTAAAGTTTTTTGTAAATCAAAAATCAACTTATTCTTTGAGTAAGGGAGGAGAAGCTTAATTTATAAGTCAAAAATCTATAAGTTGTAATCACTTTCCCACAGCTCTACCAAACAGGACCAATGCAATAAAATCAACATAAAGAAAAAAGTGTAACCAAAGAAAAAAAATTTAAAAATTTTTTTACAACCAAAAAAAAAAAATGTATTGAGGAAGGAAACAGAAAAAGAAAATATATTAAAAGATAGAACAATTTATTATGTACACACAAACCACCTCTTTTACAGAAGAATCTATTTCTGCTCATCTCAGTTGATATAATCTCTATTCAGGGTTATAAAGCTACCATCCATATATATATACACATGAGATGTCATAACATTAAAGAAACCAAATCTTTTTTTACCTCAGGATGAGATAAGAAAAGGCAATTTATCCTGAGAGCTTTAAATATCAGCTGAGCATGGTAGGATGTCCAGTCTGAAGCATCCTCTTAAACATGTCCATCCCAAATGCGGAATCTGATGAACTAAAAAACAAGGCAACACTCTATTAACTCAGCAGTCCAATGATTAGCTTCGGAAATGTATCAAGCAACCACAACTAGAGTTCTAATTGAGAATATATATATATATATTAAAACAAATTAGTGTATTAAGCATATTGCAATTATCAGTGTTAAAACTCAATGAAAGATTGCAAACAAAGGAATGCATTAATCAACTAAACACAGTGCAACGACTCAAAGATTAATTAGCATCTTGCAAAGTGTATAATTAAGGAAGACACCTAGCATGAAAAATTAGGGTCCAAAACCTATCCCCACAAACACAACTATAAAATCTCACAATTTCACATCATGAGAACTCATAAGCACAACCATTCCAGAAAGAAGTGTTGCCTTTGAACAAAAAATCTGCCAAAAATCTAGAATTAATGCATCACCTACAATCAACTATACCCTTATAATCTCACGTTCTCAATTAATGACACTCTTGGCACAATTACTATAGTGCAAAGCAGGGACTTTGTGAAAAAAGAGCTTCTGCAAACGGGAATCACATGTAGCTTTCCTTTTAACAAAGACAAAGTTCAAGTTGCATGTACTCTGAAATACAAGATACTTCCCTTTTTTCTTTTGAGTTGGTATAAATGAAAAATCCATGAACACATAATGTTTCTTTTTTCATAAACATATCAAAAGCATTGAAAAAACAAAATTAAAAATAAAACCACATCAATACATGAAAACTGATCAAATAACAATAACAAAAGAAAAGGAAGCAACGAATGTAGAAGCCCGTAAAATTCAACAGAGAAAATGAAACATGACAGCTACCCTTTAAGAAAGGTGCTAAATATTGAAACAGCTACAGTTGCATTGAAAAATAATCACCAGAACAATGTCATGGATAAAACAGCTCACCTTGAGACAGTAATTTCATAGGGAAAGGAGACACCTTCAAGATTCGGTATGGGTGGAATGTGATCTTTTTTCCTATTCACAAATTTTATTATCTGAAATAAAACCTCATGAAGAGATGCTTCAAGTGCTGCCCTCCGATGACTTCTCTCATCCAGAGCACTCTCTGCCATCATTCACAGGGAAGCATACATCATTATGAATTATTACTAAAACATTAATTAAAAGAGAGCAACGCACTGCAATGAATGTACCTCCCGGGTCTACTACAAATTTGGAATGATGAGATTTTCCAGAATGTGCTTTTGAATGTTGCACCACGTTCAAATTTATAAACCACTGTTCCCAGTATAAGCGCTCAACTTTGTTACTGAACCATGTGGCCTGTTTGTTTTTCATTTCATAGAAAGATAAACATATCTGCACCATTAAGAGGCCCATAAGTGGAGAAGTACACAAATAAAGCAATTTTTACGAAGAAGAATTAAATACTGCCAAAAGCAAATATGACGGAGAAAAAACTCAATGAAGAGAGACAAACTGTGCTAGAGACCATTGCACTATAAGCTCTAAAACTAAGCACAACATAATATCTGGCTAACAATAATCTCGCAACCTTGAATGTAAGCAACCAAATTACAGAAGAAATGAAACATTATTAAAAATGACAATAACATCTATGCAAGCTCTAGTCCTAAACAGAAAGAATTGCACATAAGAAGAAAAAAAATACAAATACTGGCCAGCTGGTTTGAATTAAGAGTTGATATTATGGCAACAAGTAGGAGTAAATTGACATCAAATTACGAAGTTACAAGACATTTATGTTTCAGTGGAACAAGGGATTTTCCTTTGCTTGGTTCTCAAATTCCATAAGTGATAAGACAACAAATCGCACCATCTCATGGCCAGCATGCATTACTATGATACTAACAAGGTTGTCTAGATCTAAGATTGATAAAAGGTATCCAACACCACAGATGGCAATCGAAGCTTTGCACGCAAAAATGCAACTTCAGAATTAACAATTATGCCCCTTAATGGATCAATATAGAGGGTGTCCGCCCCCGATGTTGCGACAATGATTCAAGTCATGGGAATCAGCTTCACAGTCATCCATAAGCCATACAAATTTTTTGTATGTACGTCACACATAACCAAAATGATTTGCTAATTTCAATCCAATGGTAAACAAAAAACCTGATTTTTCTTGCTCGGGTGTTTCTCCACTCTATCGATGAACTGGCCAATCTTCTCATCAATTTTCTTTTCAAGTTCCACATCACCACATTGCACCTATGCAATAAAAATTTCAGGCATTAATGATAAAAATTATATACTACCAAAATAAAAGTTGTCAATTTTAATCACTCCTACGGCTATAGTGCAATTAAATTGAAAAGAGGTAACATGACACAATCCAGGTCTCAAAACAATGTAAGATTTTACAAAACAATTAACAGGAGGGACACATATTTGCTTTTGTTGCAGGCAAGCAACAAATCGCTTGCCTCAGCCGAGATTCAAACAGCAAGAGGCTATATATTTCTTATTGCAAATTTAACAACATATGCAGTGCAAAACCTGCCTCAGTTTTAATATAATTCTTAGGCACATGGCACTATCCCTACAAGATTAAAACTAAGTCAAAACCAAATCAAATACAAGACAAACCACACTTAGCCATGTTTGAGAATGTGAAAGCAGTGTTGTTATTTTCTTTAAGCAAAAGTCACAATTTGCACACAAAACTACGTTGACACATCATATAGCATATTTCCTTAACGTACAAAACAACTTCTAAGGACCATGCATCACTCAAAGTCCAAACGCACCCCTTGTACAAGATTTAGACCATTGCATCAAGAATATACAAGTTGGCATTTTGGTTTCAATGCTTCCACGACACACTAATACACAATAAACAAGCAGCCAATCCTACAAGGAGCTTTGACCTCCCTGGACTTCAACAAAATACTAGGTGGAGCACAAAGCAAACTACAAAAGAATTGGAATGTTTACACAGGGAAAATAAAATTTGAATATTCTATAGCATATTGTACACCATCAGAAAAGCCAATCCAATGGTGATGGACTACACAGCACGATCCCTCTCGCTACACATGACGCACCCCCCAACCTAAATGAAAGCAGGATTCAACCCTAAGTCTCCAGTATGACTACCATGCCTTTTATTTCAAATTAACAAGAACGCTGCTCGGTTTACCTGTGTACATCAGAGGCGGAACCACTGAAAATAGCTGCAGCCTACATTTGGTGGCAGCAATGGTAGTAGCCTTTACACATGAGGAAGCAAATCACTTAAATCAAATTTGCATATGTCAAGTTTGGACCAAGCTTAACTGAGTGTCACTAGCCTTCAAATTCTAAATCAAGAAGAAGAACCTCCTACTCATAATACTTGCAAGATTCTCATATTATTCAAATATCAAACTACCCAAATTTGGTTATCCCACATATCCACCTCAAATGAGCTTCTCTATATACATGAGTCTAGTATTTGGGCTCTTGTCCAATCAATTACCAATCCCCCTAACCAAATAGAACCCATGAAGTTTCATCTAACCATTATATTCATGTTAAAATAAAAGGAGTATTCTTTTGAATATTTTGGATTCTTTGAAAAACAAGGAAATTCCATATTGCATGAGGAAAAGGATCCTTTCTTCATCTACTACTAATGTCATCAAGAGAAACTGGCATGCATTAACAAAGGATAATATCTGCCAATAACTACAACAACTGAGAAAGCACTTACATATGTAATTTCAAATAGTTCCAAATCAATGTCTTTGGGCCGGACAAGGCCTAGAGCCCTATGGAACAATATTGTGTGCAGAATACCTGCACATATATTCACCATAGTTAATTGAAAAGAAATAATGTTATAGTGATTAGTTTGCAAAAACAAGAGAGACACAAGACAATTAAGGCAAAGTCGGGACAAAAGATTAGAAGAAAAATCACAAGATCTCCACCAACATCAATTAAATGGAGGAGACCTTAAAAATAAGGATAAAATATGGTTAATAGCTATGAAGCATGAACACGGACACGGACACGGACGCGGGACACGGCAATTTTAAAAAAATCGGGACACGGACACGGCAGAGGACACGGCAGATATTTACACGTTAATTTTTAAAAAATGGGGACATGGACACGGACACGGCAGGGGACACGGTAGATTTTTTAATTTTTTTATAAATATTTTTATTTTAATACATATTAATTATTTTATTTATTTATTATATTTTTTAAGTAATGTGTTCTAACTAATTTTTTTATTTTATTTTATATACATGTGTTTATTTATTTTTATTAATATGTATAAGTATAAATAATATAATAGTTATATAATAATATAATAGTTATTACATAATTATAATAGTTATATAAATTATAATAATAATACTTTCAGTTATTATTATTATATAATAATAGTAATAGTTATATTATATATATATATACACATATATATGTGAATCCAGAAGATGAAAGAAGAATAGACGCGACACAGAGAGAGAGAGGAAGAAGTGATCGATCGCGATTGCGAGAGAAAGAGAGAGAAGGTGAGAGAGAGAGCTCGTCGAAGTCGAAGGGCGACTGGAACGTCGAAGTCGAAGTCGAAGGGGATGGAGGTCAAGGTCGACGGCTTACAGTGGTCGAAGTCATGGAGGTCGACGGCGAGTCAACTGGATCTAAGTCCAGGTTTGTTTCAAGACCTTTACTCTTCTCCTTTGCTCTTCTTTTTTCCTCTTTGTGTCCAGATTTGGACACGCGTGTCCAGATTTGGTGGAAACGTGTGTCTCCGCCGTGTCCCCTGAAAAAAAATAATTAAATTAAAGGGGCACGCCACCCGACATGTCCCGTACGTGTTCTCGTGTCCCCGGCGTGTCCTCGTGTCAGACACCGCCACGGCATGAAATCTGCCGTGTCCATGCTTCATAGGTTAATAGTATGAAACCAAAAGGACCTCAACTAGAAAGATGTGAACTGGGCATAAGAAAATAAACTAATCATTAATCATTGGACCACAAACTAAATTCTATGATCTCCTTCTGCCTTTGTTGCAACTTGTAGTGGCAATGCAAAAGTAAACTACATACAAATAAGAAAAATGTGCTAATCATCTCAACAGCTACACTCTTTTGGTAGCACTAACAACATGGTGGGCGGGGGGGAAGAAGAGAAAAAACAAAGAAAAAACCACCTTTTTTCAATGTCTTCATTATTGCTGTAAACTTGGCCAATGAACAGCATTGATCATGTTATGGCCTAGAAGGATAGGCAGAGAAAAGAAAATTCCTAGGGAATTGGAAGGCAGGGACGACATTACCATCCTTTACATTCCATATTCTCACTTTTTTAATATTTAGACACTTTCATAAGATATTTTTACTTGTTCAAAATTCTTTAAATTAGTGTGCACTTTTTAACCACCTCCACCCTTGTTTATGTATTTTTTGGGATATATATATCAACAAAAATTATGTTGGGTATGGTGGTAGAGGACCAAAGGTAAAACCGTCCTTTTACAAGTAAATTTATTGGAATTAATTATTACTGTAATTTAGTCCAAAACTACATGGGGGTAATCAGCTATTTTTAAAGACAAGGGGTAAGTGCTGCGAAGTCATACCACAATGAGGTAATATGGATTTCGCAGTATTTTATATATTGAAACAACAGAATAACAGGATATTCAAAAGACAGACAAAGGTAATAAAATGTGGGATGTCCAGTGCATTGTGCAAGCTTTGGGGAAACTATTATAAGTGACAAACAGAGCTAGAGAAAATTAAAGACTTGTAGGGGATGGGTTAATTGAGAAGGTCAATTATTTTTACTTGTTAGGATTTGACTTCTTTCAATTGTGGGACACTGGAACAGGTTTCCACCATCAAATATTTGCCTATTGCTAATTCCTTTTAGTTGAACAGAGCAGTTGGCCTAATGTTTTTGAGGTGATGAAGCGACTGCGATCGTTTCGTTATAATCTTAACTTACTAGCCCAACTAACATCCTATCCTACAATTAGGAAGGCAAAAAATAACTATCCTGTTTTAGCTTATCCAAATCAGTAATAAGTGCTCCATTAGTAAGTCGAATTGCAAGCATAATTGAACACATATAGAACTCTACTACGTATATGAAAGGAGAGAACCTAAAAATCTTAGGTAATCCAATGAATCGACAAAAACTAACTTACATCGCAGAACTTCGCTAATCTCGAAGTGCTCCAATTCCTGAAAAAAAAATTTAAAAAAAAATTAAGAATCCTACTACAATCAACGAACAAATACAGAAACACTGAGTTGGACAGATCGAATTTGATATACAAAGTAAACACGCTTACCAATTCTTTGAGTTGACAAACTTCGCAGTTCATGATACGAGCTTGAATAATATACAGAGAAGATGTTGAACAGAGTCCACGATCGAATTTTGAGGGGTGAGATTTGATCGGAAGCGAGAGAATGAAGCCCTAAAATTAACTTTGCGTCGCCAGCTTTTTGCGAGATTGCCGGGAAGGAAGGAAGGAAGTAATCAGACACTGTTTGTGGAGTGCTATGTGGCGCGAAGGGATTGGTGGGATATCAAAGGAAAGTTTATTTGGGTAAATTATACAAACACCCCTCAATTTTCTTACATATAGCTTCACCCTCTCTTTGTTTTTAAAATTATTTTTAATCTTCTACGTTGATCTATAATTTTCTACAAAATATATAAGTAATTGATTTAATTTCTGTGAAAACTTTAAAATAATGACCGTACCAAAACAATAAACTTCGATAAGATGAACTTTGATCTCCCATTATATATCTAATACTTATAAAATAGGAATGCAAATTTATAATTAGTTTAAATTAAAAATATTATTACACTTATTATTAGATGATATAATGGAACATCTCATCTTAATAGTCATTTTATTTACAAATAGTCATTTTACTTAAGGATATTATTGTCATAAAAATTTGTTCTGAGTTATTTAGGTGTGTGAAAATAGAATTTCCTCAATATACACTATGTAACCATTAAATTTATATGACAATAATATCCTTAAGTAAAATTACTATTAAGGACAATATAGATGTGTGTATACTTATTTCAACAATGGGTTTGGCTTTGGTCTAGTCCAAGATCGGACTGGACCGTGCTGTTGGTTTCATGGGTGCCTACCACGGATTCCGTTTTAATAATCCGAACCGTTCAATATATAGAACTCGTCGAGTACTATATGTCTATTAAAAAATCACGTTGATCGGATATCGATAGCTATGTGATCAAATCAGTTTTGTATTAAAAAAAATGGACGGTGAACAAATTAACGGTTGACAAAAAACTGTTTTGATCACATAGCTATCGATATCCGATCAACGTAATTTTTTACAAGCATATAGTACTCAACGAGTTCTACATATTGAACGGTTCAAATTATCAAAACGGGACCCATAGTAGGCTCCCACGGGCCCCATAGTAGGCTCCCACGGGCCCAACAGCATGGTCCAGTCTGATCTTGGACTGGACCAAAGCCAAACCCTTCAACAATTCACGTATGAAAATACAAATATCGCTATACACACCATAATCTAGAATAAATATAAAAAAAAAATTCTATTATTTTTCAAACTCAAAATATTATTTTTTTGGAAGATTTAGGCCAAGTTTGGCATCCTCAAAAAAATTCAAAAAGCAAAAAAGTTCATACTATTTACCTCTTTTTGGCGAAAAATCTGTCAATTGAAAAAAAAAACAAAAAAAACAAAACAGCGCTACACAAATTGTGCAGCCACACATTCCAACAAAATTTTCAACGTGGCACACTTGTAGCCACATGCCATATAAAAAATAAAAAATAAAAATTGAAAAGTGACAGAAAGTGCACTGCGCAGTGTCAGCGAAGATAATTTTGTAATTTTATAATTTTATACAATATTTTAATGCACATTTTTTTGTAAAAAGTCAAAAAGTTAACCTAAACATTCATATTTTTTTTCTCTACTTTTTAGTCAAAAAAGACAAAAGGTGCACTTATTTAGGACACTCCAAACAACCCCTTAGAGTTTTAAAATATTAAAATAAGTTGATTTTAAAGATTTACATAATATGAATGACATTGATTTGGAACAAAATAACAATAAAAATATCAGTTTACTTTGTTACTTATCTTGTTTGTATTAATTTAGAATAAAAGATCATTGTTCATCTTTATAACAATGACTAATTTGTTCCAAGCGCACATAGAGTTGAATATTTACAAAATGTTCAATTATTTACATTTGAATAGAATTATTTTGTTCATATTATTAAAGTCGAGCAAGTATTAAATGTTCATACATAAAAAATTGAACATTTTAGTTTAGTTCAAATATAAATTTGTGAACATATTAAGTTTTTTCAGCACTATATTTATGAACCATATTAAAACTATTTTTTTATTTAATTTTTTGTTAAATACTACACCGATTGCATCGTCGCCTTAAAATTTCTGTTCACCGTTTAGTTCTCACCGTTTGTTCTCACGTTGCTTCCATAAATTCAATACAAATTTGGGAGAGAGAGAGAGACATAAGAATCTAAAATTACAGTGAATTGTATTTTGGACTTTATTTAGCTTGTTTGATTCCTACTTTTAGGATTCACTTTTTAAAAAATTAAATTTTTTTATTTTTCATATTTTTTTGTTTTCACTAATTTTTTTTTAATATTTTAAGCAATTGTTTTTAATTTTTAGGTATAATATTTGTAAAAAAAAATCTTTAAAAAATTCACTAAATACCAAAAATATAAACAAAAAAACACGATAATTCAGTACATTTTTCATATTCTTGTATATTTATTGATTTTTAAAAATATTTTTTTACAAATATTTTACTTTTTAGATACATCTAACTGAGGTACATCTAAAAAAGTTTTAAAAAATTGCTTAAAATTGATTGAGGCCAAATTGTGCACCACTGGGGCCGTTAATTAGGACCTCTTAACTTTACTTGTTTGTCAAACTATATATTTTATGCTTGTTTAGTGTCAATCAGGTTGTACATAGTGGTAGCATGAAATGAGCAAAAATGCAAAATTTTGGAGAGAAAAGTGATTCCCGTACGTGCGAAGGCCCATTCCCGCACATGCGGCCTTTACCTCGCAGCCAAACAAGGCCTAATCTTCCAACACGTGCGGCACTCCTTTCCGCATGTGTGGTGACCACTCCCGCACGTGCAGTCATACCTCGAATTTTGTGCCGCTGTTTTGAACCTATTTGAAAGACAACAAAGGTATAAAAAGACAGAAAATAGGCTAGAATAGTGATTCTCAAGGAGAAGGATGAGGCAAGGGTTTGGAAAAAAGTGATTCTCAATCTTCAAAGCCAATTCCCATGGAGGGTTCCATTTCTTCCCACTTCTCCATGAGTGGCTAGGCTCTTCTTTTCTAGGTTTTTGATGAAACCCTAGCTATTTAATTAGGTTTTCTTTTTGGTTTTTGATTATGTAAAGGTTTGAACAATTGTATGGTGTTTTAGAAGTTTGAAATATATATTTTCCATTATTTCTTCGAGTATTCAGCTTTTTGTGATTGTTGAATGCTTTCCATACAATGGTTTTCTTTTCTTTCATATTCAATGTATGAGACGAGTCATACTACGAGGGATGAGTCGTTTTGTTACTCTAAACTGTCGTTTTGTTACTCTAGTTTAGAGCGAACGACTCGTACTACTTGACATGGTTCGTGCCTATACATTGAACGTGATAACTCTCTTGATAAATGCTTCGAACTTGTAGTTGCGAAATATTATTTAGTTCAAACCATAGCATAATTGATTTCAAATTGAAACCTTATTTACGTAACTGGTAGTGAACTCATTGCCCTAGGTTTTTCCCCAAATCAGTAAATTCATCTTCATTTATAATTGTTATTTTATTCGCTTTGTTTAATTTAATTATTATTAGGTTATGAACAATCAATCTTTTTTTATCAAAATTGATTTAGGAATTTAATAATTAAATTAGTTTAATTTTTCGTTTGTCCCTCTGGATCGATATCTAGACTTGCCATTATTCTAAAAGAATTTGGTATAGTTTAGTGTTTATTTTTGGTGTGTGAAACGACCAATCAAATTTTAGCGCCCTTGCTGGGGACTTATGGCGAAATTAATTAATTTAAAGTTACATTCTTATTTTAATTTTTAGTTTAGGATTTTATAATTTTTTTTTTTTTTTAGTGTTGCTAAGTGTGCAGAGTGTTTGAAAGTGCAGCTATTACAGAAGTGCAAGCGGAGCGCAACCGAGCTTTAAAAACAAACCGCAGCATTAAAGTACTATAAAAAAAAAAAGAGCAAACACTCACAAGTAAAGCACCAAAGTGCTAAAAAAAAAGACAGAGCTCAATCGGAGGTTGGAGACAACATCTACATGTCAAGCACCTGCAAGACGAGTAAAGTGTTTTTGTTAAATCGCTGTGAGTATTTCTCCCTTTAGTATTTTGCTTTCATAACTTAGTGCACAGAGTCGAAACTTAGCATGTATGTGTGTGAGTAGTGTATGCACGGGCGCCATTCTTGTCGCGCTGAATTGTGGAGTTTGGACCTTGAACTAGAAATGACTCTTAGGAAACTTAGAGCCCCAGCTTGTGTTCCTAGGCTTGAATATTCATATCCATACTTTGAGCCATTAGAGATGGCGAATCTGAATGGCCTAAATAGGCTCGATCGGACCCTTAAGGATTACTTCACACCCACTGCATATACATCACCATCATGCATCCAGTTACCCGACACCATTGCTGCTCATTATGAGATTAAGTCTAGCACCATCCAAATGCTCTCATCATTCCATGGACTAGCTCATGATGACCCTTACAAACATCTGCATGAATTTCTGGAAATTTGCTCTACAGAGAGGATCCAGAACTTTACCAATGAGGCCCTAATGTTACGTTTATTTCCATTTTCATTAAAGGACAAAGCCAAACACTGGCTGAACTCCTTACCTACTAATTCAATCATAACTTGGGACCAATTACAGTAAAAGTTTTTGGAGAAGTACTTTCCCATTAGTAAAACCAACTAACTCAGGCGAGCCATCACCAATTTTGCTCAAATTGATGGCGAGCAATTTCATAAAACATAGGAAAGACTTCGTGGCCTTCTCTAACAGTGTCCCCACCACCAAATGCCTAATTCTTAACTTGTTCAAACCTTTTACTATGGCTTACCTGAGCCTCATCACCAAATGATGGATTCTTCTTGTGGTGGGACATTAATGTCCAAAAATAACGCCAAGGCATGGCAACTATTTGAGAATTCAAGTGATAATTCTCCTCACCATGCCTTCGCAACCCAGCAAGTCTGGCAACCGGTAATTGGAGCCCCGAAAAGATGGGGCATATATGAGGTAGTGTAAAACTAAGAGTTAGCCTAACAGGTAGAGGCATTGTCCCACAAGATGGACCAATTATTAGCTTTGGGACATGGCCCTACACAGCAAGATCAGCCTCAATTTCACGAGGCGTGTGTTATTTATGCAAGCCCTGCTCATGACCTGAGTAAATGCCTTTCGGCATCACAATTTCCGAAATTA